TCAGCTGTTTTATTTTTATTTGTATTTTTTTGAGACAGAGCCTCAAGCTGTTGTCCTGGGTAGAGTGCTGTGATATCACAGTTCACAGCAACCTCCAACTCCTGAGCTCAAGCGATACTCCTGCCTCCGCCTCCCAAGTAGCTGGGACTAAAGGCGCCTGCCACAACACTCGTCTATTTTTTGCTTGCAGTTGTCGTTGTTTGGCGGGCCCAGGTTAGATTTGAACCTGCCAGCTCAGGTATATGTGGCTGGCACCTTACCTGCTTGAGCCACAGGCGCGGAGCCACTTTCAGCTGTTTTATTAACTAGATAGGGCTTAGGTGGAGCTGAATTTAAACTGGTTTCCACAGCATAGAGTACAAAACTTTATATATATGAATGGGATGGGCTTGTTTCTTTGGTTGTTCCTTTCACTTATTCTGCATGTTGTGCTTTTTATGTAAGTCATTTTCTTCATGCCTGGTAATAATATTCTTTAAGAATATTTCTAAGGAAAGAAAAGCCATATTTGGCAAAACTGTATTGAGTTCTTTTTTTTTTTTTGGTGGAGATAGAGTTTCACTTTATCACCCGTGGTAGAGTGCCATGGCGTCACATAGCTCACAGCAACCTCCAACTCCTGCGCTTAGGTGATTCCCTTGCCTCAACCTCCCAATTATCTGGGACTATAGGCACCTGCCACAATGCCCAGCTATTTTTTTGTTGCAGTTTGGCCGGGGCCAGGTTTGAACCCGCCACCCTTGGTATGTGGGGCTGGCACCCTGCCCACTGAGCCACAGGTGCCGCCCCTATTGAGTTCTTACTATGTATAAGGTACTGTGCTAAGTGCCTTGATGGATGATGAGATAAATATTAGTTGAGTAAAATCATCCTTTAGGAACTTAGAGTCTACTGTGTGAGACGTTTACTCAGTTGACTACTATAAAATTGGATAAGTGTTATAGTGGATACACACACACAAAAAGCATTATGGCTTTGGGGAAACAACACTCTGGTTTGTTTGTTTGTTTGTAACAGTCGCATTCTGTTCTCCCAGGCTAGAGGGCAGCGGCATCACCTCAAACTCCTGGGTTCAAGTGATCCTTCGGCCTCAGCCTCCCGAGTAGCTAGAAGTATAAGCACCTGCTGCAACACCTGGCTCATTTTTCTATTTTTTTTTTTTTTTTTTTGTGAGACAGGAGCCTCAAGCTATCCCCCTGGGTAGAGTGCCATGGCCTCACAGCTCACAGCAACCTCCAACTCTTGGGCTTAGGTGATTCTCTTGCCTCAG